TGGTAGCTGGTTAGCAAAGCTGTAGAACCACTGTAGAACCTTGAATGGCTCCCTGCAGAGCTGCTGTGCTTTATTACTGTTTTCTTCTTCCGACTGGCTGCGTTTCCCTCGCAGGGCATTTGCCCTGTCCTGCTGCATTGCCGGGGGTGACAGGGGGCTGCAGCCGGCCCAGCTTTTCAATCCCTCTTCCATGTCTGAAGTTACTCCCTGGGGCATAGCCGTTGAAGACCAGGCAGGGCTGTAGCTGGAATAGCAAAGAATTCTGCACACATGCGCCAGCGCCTCTGAGGGGGAAGAGAAGGGACAGCAACTTGCAAAAATTCTCTGCATGTGTTTTAAAACCTGTTAAACCTAAAACAGATTTGAAGAATATTAAAAATGCAGTTTCATTTTATAGCCAAGTGCTTGCATATCATGACTATGATCAATGGCAACTCTTTTTAGTACAGAAGATATGGTGCAGGTTGTGGAATTAGGAGTGTGAGTTAGTCCCAGTGACTCATTAGGAAATCCTCAGAAAACCATGGAGGTTCACTCTTTTAGCAATGTCAGGCTGGGTTTCAGAAGTGCCAAACACCTGCACAGTGGATTCAAGATCTGACAGCTCTGCACAAGAGCCATTAATGTTTCCTCAACATGCACATTCCAAAACTGTGTGTGTTATCCAATGAACCAAAAGTCCTTATGAAGGTTATATGAAGGGTACAATCACTTACTGCTGGAATTATGCTGGAATTAATTCCCATAGTCAGGTAATAAGGCAGAAAGAGTTAGCAGCAGGAGTTTTAAACAAAGTAATCACCACCTGTGATCATTGTCCTGAGCATCAAGAAAGATTTAAAAAGTATTCTGAAAAGACAAGATAAATAAAAGTGTCAGAGCAGAAATATATATATTTGGTTATAATGGAGACATTGATTTTACAATACATGGAAGCTTTCCACACATGTACTGCCTCATGGCCCAAAGGAAATGTGTAACTGCGCTTCTCTGTTCTACGACCTGTATTATTTCTCACTTTGCCAGTTTCTTCTATTGTCACAGATGCTGGTAGCCTTCTATCCCTCAAAATGTTTGACTGGTTAACCTAGCAATGTTAAACTCAGAGCAATTTCTTCATGTCTGTCCTTAGCATTAAGTTAGCTCTTGCTGTGCCAAACATAAAAAAGAGTTGCATCTGATTACCACAGCCTGAGCTAAAAAGATTACCTCTCCCTGGAAAACCTACCATTCTTAAAAACTCAGGGCACTTAAAGTTAGTAGAAGTACTTAAAAGTGTAGATGTAGATGATCAGCTCAAATATTTCAGAGTTAGCACATTAACCTCAGATTGCTATGTTTTGTTTGTTTTTTTTTCCTGAAACTTGCTCCAATCTCAGCATCCTCGGAAGAATCTACTACTTTCTCTGCCACTGCGGAAATATTTTGTTTCCTTAGCAGAAAACAAAAGCTGGATTCAAGATTGTAGTTTTGTTTGCTTTCATTTAATCAAGTGAGTTAGTACGATGGATTTAACTGGAAGTGGATTTATATCTGAAAAATTTCTATCATGACGGAAAATTTCAATTAGGGGAAATTAGCCACTTGGTTCTTTCTGATAAATTAATCATAGAGATTATCTATTAAACGTGCCACTTAACCTTTCTGGCATAAGTGCCTGAGGCAGTAGTATTTAGGCTCTACACATTCATTTGGAAATATTAATTTCTATGCAGCTGTCTTGCAAAATGGAATTTTCACTTGTCTTTTTTTCTAAGTAGGTCATTGTGCAGCTGTTCTTAATGGAGGCTGGCATTTGTAAAATGGTAAATCCACCATTGTACCCCATAGGTCAGAAAATTGATCTCCATCAATTACAGAATATCCTTTACTAAAATGCCCTTTCTCAACCCTGAAGGGTGTCATCCCTCGCTATGATAGCCTTTGGCCTCTCTGGAATGGGAATATGTTTCAGCTGGATACTTTGCAAAAGAAGAAGCATCACCGTGTTCACCCTATCTGTCTTCCATTAGTCTAAGGCTTTGTCTTTGTTCTGCATCATGGCTTCTATCTACATTAGAGCTGCCTTAAAATTAATCTTAAGGGAAATTGGTATGACAGCTAGCAGCTGTCAAAGAAACAGCTGTCTCAGCTGCTGAACCTCCCAGGTCCAAATTCTCCTTCTACTTCCTACAATGAAATGATCTTTTCAGTGTAGACAAGGCCTCACTGTCCCTGTAGTGTTCAGCTGTTGCACAGCTTCGGGAGAGAAGCAACTCCTGAAAGAGCTACAAACCTTATCCTGTAGACTTGAGAGATTAAAATTAGGACCTTGACCTGGATATCTTTTTTGTATGTCATAAAATTTGCATAGTTTTCTGCAGGAGTAGTTTGAACTCCAGAACTTTCTAAGGACTGTATATCCTGTAGCCTAGCAAAAGATGATAGGAAGTAAGAAGGTACTGGCAGCAGAGAAGGATGTGCAAGAAAGTATAAATGGCAGATAATTAAAAATTGTAACAAAATTAGCATTTTAGGGAGTGGAATTGGCAGCAAGACAGTGATGTTGTGGTCCATACTGTGAACCAGAATTAGTATGTCCTTATTGATTACCTGAGCCTATACATTCTTGCACGGATAAAATTAAGCATGAGGAGAATGCTTGCAGATTTGGGATGCGAAGCAAACAAAATCCTTCTGACTTTGGGTTTGGGTCAGATGAACTTGCAGATCTTGAAGATTTAAAATCTCAAGGATTTGGAGACAATTCAAATTATGCAAGGAACATAATAAAAAAGACGGGGAAGGGGAAACAAAATTGAATAGAGCTGTGTTGAATAATGGACTGAGGTACAGTTGGGCAGTTGTGCTGTGTAAGGACGTGGGATTCAAATTTCATATGAAAAAGAAAAGAACAATGATGCAATTCAAGATTGTTACATGATCAGAGCAGTAGGAAGCTACAGAGCTGTGCTGTGGTTGGGTAGGTTGCAAAGGAGGTGGAACAGTGAGGTGACAAAAAAAAGAGAGCTACAGTAATGAGTGAAAAATTAATAAAGGAAACAGAGGTAGACATTTTAGCTGGTCAAATATCAAGATGCAATGAAATTCTGAATTTCAAGAAGAGGATTGCAACTTAGATATTGCCAGAGTTCTACAGTGAAAGGCAGGATAGGGGAATTGCCAAATGGGAAATGATAAGAGGAAAAGTAGAAGCAAAATTGAGACGTCACCTGTGTTTAAGAAAACAACAGGATAGCTGGGAGGACCTGCAAGAGAAGTGAATGTAAATTTGTACAAGTGGCAGACCTTCACTTTGCGACTAATCAGTAAAAAAAGACATGAAGGGTGCTCTGAGAACAATGAAAGTGGGGTAACCACTGTTGATAGCAGAAGAGAAACTGAGGAAAACGTATGTATGTAAGGGATCACTGGATTTGGTGGGGATGTGGTGAGACTAATGAAATCGCATTAGCCCTGATTTGTGAAAAATCATACAGGTGAGTCAGGAATTTTTAATAACTGACTATGAAACTCCATCAGTAAAGCTAACATATTTAAATGTACTTATTCTCTCCCCATGACAAATAGAAGGTATTTGTTAGGCCAAAGAACTTTATATCCTGGGTTATAGCCTGACTATGAATGGGAGTCTAGTTTTGCTGAGGTTTTTATCCTAAAGACCTTGAAAAGGAAGGAAAATTTATAAAGTTAGCGTGGCAATCTGCATGATGATCAAAGTGGCTTCTTAAACACTTACTGGCCACTTGTGTGCTTCTTCATGGAATCACCTTCACAGTCCAATTGTTTTATTTTTTCTTCCTTACATGAAAGCATGCAGGAGTCACTGATGGATGGTTAGGCAGCATGGCTGAACCCACGTTGCCTTGGAGAAGTTACACAAACCTGTGACAGGCAGGGGTAAGTGACCACCAAAACTGCCAAAGAAGTGAAAATTTTTTAAGTGTTTAAGATTTATTATGCTGAAGAAAAAAATTCTTCAGCTTGTTAAACACTTACTTTGTTTGAAAAACAAACAAACCTTAGAGTGCTGTGAGGTAAGGAAGGATATTTGTTGTACAGTTTATTGTCACTGAAGTATGCATTTGGTAACATAACTAGGTTCAATTAGGAATGTTCGGGGATTTTCAGTAAGGAAAATGATGTAGATTCTGTTGCTTAGGGCTTGGCTGTGATTTTAGTGATCTGAGTCAAATTCACGTTCTGTGGCTGATTTAGGCCCAGATCCATAAAGGGGCTTAGCTGCTTAAAATATGACTTCACTGGGATTTATCCACCTAAGCCTCAAGCGCATAATCCCCAGAAGCCGACACATGCCCCTGTTTCGGCAGGGTTTGCTCTGTGCCCAGAACAGCCCGTTTTTTTCCTTGAAGAACCGAGCAGCTGCTCGCCGCCTGCCCCGGCCTGCCTTGAGAAGGAGGCGGCCGCGCCCCAGAGCCAGGCGGGCACCCAGGGCCCAGCCGCCGAGCTCCTTATGTAAGGGCCTGGGGGAGGCCAAGGCTGCCGGAGCCAAAGCCCCAGCACCCAGCACAGCGTGCAGGGGCCGTCCGAGGCAGCGGGCTGGAGATGCTGCGCTCAGCTCCTCGGGGATTTCCACGCCGAAGGCCGTTTTCGGGGCTGGCGCCGAGCCCCCGGTGCGAGCAGCGCCGCCGCGGCCCCCACACCCCTCAGTGGGGCTGGGGGGAACCGGGCTGGAAACGGCCCTTGGCGGCGGCAGCCTGGAAGCCGGAGCATTTCCAGCCCGGTCCCTTCCCAGCACACCGGCCCCAAGCCCACCGGCCCCCGCTGCCTCACGCAGGTGCCCCGGGGCGGAGGCAGCGCGTTGCGCAGCATCTTGGGGGGCTCGTAACGGAGGTCCCCGCGGCGCCCACATGCTGCCACCCCTAAGCGAGCGCCTCTCCCGGCCGTGAGAAATCTCATCCCGCCGAAGGGCAGGAGGCTGCTGGCGGGGCGGAGCCGCGGGCAGGAGGCCGAGCTTCGCTGCTATAAAACCGGGGGCGGCCGCCCCATCCCCGCTCGCCCTGCCCGCTTCCGCGCCCCAGCGTGAGCCGCTTCAGCACTGCCTGGCCGCTAACATGGCGCTGTCCGCCGACCCCCATTTCAAGAAGCTGCTCGAGTGGCACAAGGCGAACGCCTCCAAGCTCGTCCTGCGGCAGCTCTTCGAGGGCGACAAGGAGCGTTTCCAGAAGTTCAGGTGAGGCTGGGGAGCCTCGGGGCTGGCAGAGGGCCCGCCGGCAGGAGGCACCCCCATACACCCCCACACGCCTGCCGCTGCTCGCCTCGCCTCCAGCGACCCGGGGAAGGCGGCCGAGGCCGAGCCTCAACGCTCGGGGCCTCTCGGTGGTGCCGGGCGGGCAGGACGGCGAGCAACGGCCCCCCCGGGCAGGGGGGAGCCCCCCCGGCAGCCCCAGGCACGGCGGCCCCGCGTGTGCTCGTCCTTGACTCCTCCTTGCGGCTGGGACGTGCCGGGCGGCACAGCGCCGGGCTGCGGCGGCACAGCGGCATTCTGGGGCCTGCCGCCTGCTTAGTCATGAGGAGCTGACTCTCCCCGCGATAAGATGCCTGGCCCCGCGATAAGAGCAGCGCCGAGCATCGCCCCCGGCCGCCCCTGTGCCCCCACCTGTCGGCCCCTGCCCCGCAGTGGCGTGTGTGGGCGTTCAGCCCTCCCCTGCTACACGTACTGCAGCAGACACGTTGCAAGGGCTTTTTTCTAGAGAAGGAAGTAAGACGTGGAAGCAGCGTGATAATGTGCAATGTTCTCATCCCATAAAACAGGGCTGCTGTCTCCTGTGCTCAGGAGACTGCTGAGAAGTCACGTGTGGTTATGCTGCTGGGTGCCACCAGCAATCTGGAAAGTCCATTAGCGTGTAGGTACATCACTGATTGGAGTTTTAAAGTGAGCCTGGGTAATATACACATGGCCAACTTCTTCAGGAAAGATCTATCTTTCCTGTTGCATGTGTCAAAGTTCTCACTGGTCAAGTGACTTTTCTCCTGTTGAACTCATTTGATACTACCTGAATGGTAATGCAACATCACATACGAAGTTCTGTATACCAGCATACAATAGCTAGCTTCATTTTGCATTGATGTGAGAGGTATGCTCGGTTTTTGAAGCATTAACTTCATCTGGCTCTTCAAGCAGAACCTTTGTTAACTGTAAAAACTGTATTACTATCTCTAAGCTAAATCTCCTGTCTCTAGCAGAAAAAAGGCTCTGGTTGCGAGCTTCCTTATCTCCAGTACATTTCAAAAGACTGAATTTGTTAACATCCTTGTAACAAGGGAAAGTTGAAGCAGACTGAGTAAATCCAAAAGTGTAACTGAGATGCTTTGTACAAGATTCTTCCTGAATGGCTTGAGCAAGTGCTACTATTGAGAATAGCACTGAATATTAGTCTTAGTGGCTGTCACTTTATTATGCAAGCTACTTTAACTGTAAAATGTGAGCTCAGTTTCAAATAGTTTGTATTTAAGTTCTTGTGAATATGTAATAGACTAAGGGAGTTACACTGACCGTTGCTGTGCACCGTTAAATGAGGATAAGGTATTTGGCAACTCTTGTTTCAAGCACATATACTCATGTGTGGCGTGTTTTCTCTGTGCTGGAAGCTGTAAGTGTGTCTCCCAGAAAGTGTTTATCTAATTGGTATTTTTCTTGTGGAATGCTCTTTACTGAGGGTACCCACTTCAAGTAGCTGCTTGTCTTAATGTTCTCTTGTGCAAACTGTAAGGACAGGAAATGGTTGAGTTGTTCAAGATTCATTAATCTGTATTAATGACATTTCTCTTCATGATTTTTGTCCTTTTTCCTGATAAACCAACATTGACTACCCCAAGAATTCTGTCATACCCAAATATGCAAAACTGACAGCCAGGTTTAATTTGATAAATCAGCTTGTGTACTCCTCAGTGATTACCACTTCACCACCATCCGGCGGCTCTGGCTTGTAGTTAACGTGTTGAAAGCCAGTCCCAGAGGTTCCTGCTTATCTTGCACCTCTTCCCTCATGTGAAAATCCTCTTCATGAAGATGCTTCAGATTTCTTGGGTGTGATCATAAGATCATTGATTCTCTTCTAAGGAAAAAAATACACTGAACTAAAAGTGCTTTGTGACACTTGTGCTGTAGAAATTTTAGAATCAGTTTTTAATCTGAATACCTCAGAGACTAAGTATCTATTAAATCTTACTGTAAGAAGCTTTTGCTCACTGGCTGTGGCTTACTGAGTATGGATAGAAGACTTTTCTCCTGTCTTGTGTCCATTGACGAAAACTTGCATCGCCTCTTTTCCTGGTTTGGAGCAGGGTCAAGTATGTACAGCATGTTTTTGAATTTCTCTGCTGCCCAAATATACGGTCTGGTAGGAACAGTGGGCCTTTCACTTCACAGTGGAAGGCTGCATCACTTAAGTGTGGATGTGGCTTACGTGACAAGTGCTCTGTTCCACCTGGGTAGTGCTACTGCTGGATGCCGCATTGCAGAATGGGTACTGTAGCAGAATGCAATTGAGCTGCACGTTCCTGTGCTTCTGTTTAAAGAAGAGGTGGAACCCTTGGAGTAAGGGTTCAGGATGGGGTTAGGCTCTATGCTTGTGTTGTACCTCACGTGTGGGAAATGAGAAATCTGATCTTTTGTATTCACTGTTAGCCATTGCTCTTTTCTTATGGTGTCTTGCAATGCCATCTTTCTGCAGTTTCTTCAACTCAGTGGTGATTTGAATCCAGCCAGAAATTCATGGGGTATATCTAAGTCTAGTGAGGTTAGATTTTTATTTACATAAGTAAAAATCAAAAAAGTAAAAATAAAATCTTCTCTTTATGTCATATTTTAAGGATTTTATCTTCATGAAGAACACTAAGGCTATCTTTCTATGATAAAGCTGTAGTAATGAAGAATCATCATTATCATGAGATATATATATATAGAGAGAGAGATCTCATCATAATGGTCTTGCAGTGCCCTTAATGAAGTGTTGAAAACCTAGTCCTGTCTGTAAACATACCACATTTAATTTTAAATAGACTTGCACGATCTGTTCCTTTTCTGTACTCTATCAATAAAGAGCAAGTTTGGTAGGTGAGAGGTAAGTCTTTTTCTTAGGTAGTTATGTTCCAGGTATTCTTACACTATGTGGTTGGGGTTTCAGGATTGCTTCTTGCACCTTCCTGAAGAAAAGGATGATTAACAGTATTAATACTGTTTTCCCTTACTTGCCTTGTTTTTTGATAAATGTTATCTTTAGCCTGTACTTGAAGTTACACATCTTTCCTTATTTAGTTGCTTCTGTTTTAAAACCAGTTTTCTGGTCTTGAACTGTCTTTTTTTCCCCAAAATTGAAACCACCAAAGTGTCTAGACCTTGCTGGTCATTACTGTTGTGGCAGGTTCAGTCCCATTCTTCCAGTTTTGCATTCTCTGTAATGTTATATCTGTGTAGGATAGCAACAATGCTATGTTTCATCCCTGCCAAGTCCATAGTATATCTTTGCAGTAAAAACAAGTGATAATATTTGTGGCCAAATATTGAGAAACTAGAGGCAGGGCAGATAATGAACAACACGGAAACACTGAATTTAGATGCATGCAATTTCCTGTGGCTTGAGCATGTGGAGCAAACATGACAGTAACTCATAACGAAGGCACTGTACAGTAGACTTAATAAAGTCTCCTGAAAGACTTACAGGACTGACTCTTGAATTTAAAGTAAATGTGTATGTTAGGTTGTTAATTAGTGCAAAGGAGAAATGAGTATAAAACTGCTGTATAAGACAATAGAGCAACTGTAGAAATTCGCATTTTGATACAAGGCTAGTAAATACAACAAGACTTACTTGATAGACTATTTTCATGTTTTACCTCAGTTCTAAACAAAGTCTTTGTCTTTTAAATGTTAGGCTATAGTTCTCTGGGAGGGATTAGCAAAATCATTTGTAGAGCTCTGAGTCAGTAAGCAAAGTGAGACTATGCAGTGCACAAATAGGAAGTAATTCTGCATCTTACTTGACAGTACTTCTGTACATGAAGTTGTATAGACTTGTAAATGAGTTTTGTTTGGTCTGCCATATTAAAAAAAAAGTCTAAATTTGGTAAAAATGAACTGTAGGAAGACAGTATAACTTTCTTCGCTGCAAAAAGATGGTCATAGCTTTGTACCTATGATTTAATAGGAAAAAATAGTTGCTAGAGACTGCTAGTGGCTCAGTTGAAAGTGGAACGTGATCATGTGGCTGTGCATTAAATATACTTGTATTTGTATTTGGACTTTCACAAGCAGAAAATGAACACTGCAATTGAGCTTATTGAAAACCATAGTCAAGTTTTAAAATGGTATACTACCTAGTAAATCGTTTTATAAAATTTGTGGAGGCCCATTAGTCCCTCAGGTCATCTATATTAACTTAGCCTAACTAGGTTTCTAATTACTTACTATTTGTAGAGTTGTCATTGTCTTGCTTAAAACTCTTTCTAAGAAGGTTTAATTAAGCAACTTATTTGTTTTGGCAGCTTGACTCTGAATACTGATCATGGGGATATCTTACTGGATTATTCGAAGAACCTTGTTACAGAAGAAGTAATGAAAATGCTGGTGGAACTGGTAACTAAAGAAAACTTTTTTTTATTAGTTCAGTGTTATAAAAGTTAACTTTAAACTGTAACTCATTCTATCATTATACAAATTTAACTCTCAATTCAAGAGATGATCAAAGTTCAAGGTCACATGGTTTTAAGCCTAGTAAGGCATTGTTGTAAGTCATGCATTTTCCTTTGGCCACAAGGAGCAGAGCCATTTTCAATTCCCAGATCTCTCTTGAGCTCTGATTTGTCTGTCAAGACATGTTTGTGACAAACCAGCTGGCATATGGGACCATTACTGAGATTTGCAGTAAAATAAGAGATGAATACCAAGGTGTAAGAGAAACTGATATTTTATAAACCTCAAATGGAAATACATGGTTTCATGTCACGTAGTCTTAATTTTGAGATTCATTTGCAGTTGAATGTATTTTAAGAAGCTTGTGTCATTAACTTCAGTTTAGCGTGGTGTCCATAATTACAACCCTTTCTTAACTATTGGTTCAGCCAAAGGCTAAGATGGAATAGATTTTTTTAAAGTTTCCAAAAACAGCTGAATTGAAACTACTTTTTGCTGCTGTTCTGTTTAAAAACAAACAAAAAAACCCTAAGCTGTTGCAAAGAAATATAAATTATTTCTTTAGCAGTCTGTCAAGATGAAACTGAGTAATAAGACTACTCACTACATCTTGATCTTTTAGTACATGGTACCATGTAGCATTTTTTAAGGGAATAAAAATACTTCCTATAAAATAAGCATGAACTCCTATACATTTTAAAACTAGTTTATGGTGTGTTTTTCATCTAATTTTTAGTTTGCTCTCTTGTGCTAACTGCGTACTCTACTTAGTGTAGCTGGACCTTTGTAGTACATGTTGACTTACTATTTTTAAGAGAAATCTATTTTTACATTTCTCAGGCAAAGTCAAGGGGTGTGGAAAGTGCCAGAGAGCGAATGTTCAGTGGAGAGAAGATCAACTTCACTGAGGTAAGGCTATTTCTGTATATAGTTCTTACCTTTCAGTTGTGCTTATATTATGGATGTTAATGCATCTCTGTAAGAGAAGTTTTGAAAAACTCAAATTGCTACTCTGAAATGCTGAAAGTGGTTTTAACTTGTTTCATTCCTTACATGAGAAATTCTAAGCTCTCTTGCAAAGAAGAAAATGTGAATAAAGCTATTCAGTCTTGTCTCCATCAAAAATTGTTTTTAGATGAGTTGGTGTATTTTTTCCTTTCTCTTCTGCACTCTTCTGTAGAGAAGAAGATGAGTTAAGTCTTGAAAAGGGCATAGAGCAGAGTATTTCATTCCATGTATGCCTTAGCAGCTTTTGCCTAACGAGTGTTCATAAAGCTTAGTAATCTGCATATAATGTGTTAGCAAGGGTTGTGTAAGACTTTCTGCTTTGGATTGTTGATGCTACTTATCTTTGGGCACTTCTAGTAGTAGAGAGTATAAGCCATCTTGAAAAACCAGCCATGTATTTTGGTAAGACTGAGTATATTCCTCTCCGTAGATTTGAGGGTTGTAATGATAGTTAAATCTTCTCTAGAACATACAAAGGAACCAGTCGCACCTTATTTTTTTTAAATTTAAAGTAGGTTGAAAACTGGAAAATCAGTGCAACATGATTTACTGGTCTACCTTAAATATTTAAGTACATTTGAGGTAAATTTGCAGAAATCAATATTTGCTCTGATTTGGTTAACTGATTTAGTTCTTGCATAAGCAGTTTACTTAAAAATCACTCAGTGGCTGAATGTTGTGTTGCTTGTAAATACTGCATGTTTGTAGGAATGAACAGACTAAACCAGAAAGCTTCACTGGAGAATCATTTCTCTTCATCTTATATTAATGCCTTCAAAACACAGTTTTAGACAGTGAGGGGGGAAAAAAGGGAGCAGGGGGAAATGTGGGTGAGTTTAACATCTGTCTGGTTCTGGTTTTCAGATACTGCTTTTCAATAGCATCTTGTAACACAGATTATTACAAGGTTACCCTATATCTGACCATATGTTATGGAGTTATTCTTCATTTTTTTTAACCTAAGATCAAATATAATGGTTGAAGTCCTTTTAAAGGAATATACTCTTCCTTGATAGCACTTGAACACAATATTAAACTGTCTGGTGTGTTTGGCTTCTGCTGCTAACTCCCAACTTCCATATAGTCTCAACATGGCAACTTTATTTAGCAGTTACCTTCATGATGACTAATCTTTCATTATCGGCCTGCTTCTCATTTACAGTAAGAAGACCTGGAATGAGATTTGGTTTAATTCATTTTCTATTAATGCGAGATAGAAAATGAAGTTGAATGGACTCTGGAGCATGTGGACAATATGAAATGGCCATGAGATGTTAAACAGAATGCTGTCAAACAGTGTTAATAGAATAAATGTAGAGCAGTAAGACAGAAGGAAGCTGCTTAATAGCAAGAACTGACTTGTCTACTACTCTTGTTCAGATTTGGAAAACTTTAGCCATGTCCTAAATATTTAAGACTTGTCTGTGTTTGATGCTGCAGGCATTGACTGCTCAGTTTGTTCTTAGGTGGAAATTATTTGTAGTTTACCCAAGCATGATACTGCCAGGTGTTTGTCCTGATGAGTTAGAACTTGTAGGCTAATATGGTGCAAAGACAGTGTATAAAGTAGCACATATCTGACCACTCGTTATGGGGGCAGTCTTTACTGTCTACCAAAATTTAGAAAATATTTTTGTTTAACAGCAGACAGCAGTTGAAAGCAGTTCCAGTTAATCTGAAGGATTATTAACAGCTTTTAAGATTGTACTACTTTCTGGGTGAAGTGCAAGTCACAAATAACTCAAGTTTTTCCTTCTTCCTCTTGTTTTAGAACCGAGCTGTGCTTCATATCGCTCTGAGAAATCGTTCCAATGTGCCAATACTTGTGGATGGGAAAGATGTTGTTCCAGAAGTAAACAAAGTGTTGGACAAAATGAAACACTTCTGCCAGGTATAGTATATCACTATAACCTTTCATGTTTGTATTATAGTCAACCAGGTTCTCTAACAGGCATGTTGTGAAGCACTGATTATAGACTGGTTCACACAAGCTATTCTCCACTTGTTGGGTTAGGTTTATAACAGTACTGGCTCAAGCATGGAGTTAGAGCTGTTTTAAGCGTGACTTTCTTGCATGTCAGTTTGCAGGTGGGCTTTTCTTTAATGGGCTCTCCAGATCTTACTTCTTTAGTACTATTTATTTCAGAAGTTTGAAGTCTTGTAAAACATGAGGTACCCCATTCAAATATGGCTTTATTTCTTCTTAACGTCTTTCTTACTACTTGACTCTCACATAGAAACTGCCTCTTAAAATTCTTGTAAAATCAGAAGGAGAGAGGGAAGAAGCTCCCAGCTCACTTTTAATTTGATTGTGGTCTGCTTAAGTAGTTTTTTAAAGATCCACTGTCTTTAGGTCAGATACATTTATGATTCTACTGTTTCAGCAACACAAAGCTTTTTGTTCCCTAGTTACATACAGAAATCTTCAAATATCATTAATGTTTATTGGTTCTGTACATCTTTAATGTAGGCATCTGTTTAAATGTCTTGTGCAAATAATTGAATGCCTAAGATTCTTTCATGTCTAGCTTGACTTCTATTGTCCTTAAGTTCACCTGTTGTAAATGCTTTAGCAGTCCACATGTAAGAAGACTAGACTGATCTTTGCAGTTTGTTTTAAATATGTGCATTAAATTTCTAACACTTAAAGAAGTAAGCATTAATGAAGTGTCTACCCAGCAAAGTAGTTTTGAGTATTGGCTGTAAGGTCTGGAAACTTTAATTTTTTTTCGGACATGCTCTGCAGTAGTGCTTGAAAATACAGCCTGCTTCCAGGGTTAGAGTTGTTAACTTCAGCATATACATAGCATAAAATACTTGGTTTCTTTTCCTGCCAGAGAGTCCGTGGTGGTGAATGGAAAGGTTACACTGGGAAGACAATCACTGATGTGGTCAATATCGGGATTGGTGGCTCTGACTTGGTAAGCAGTTGACTTCTGTACATTTTACATCTGTGTGTACATGTCTGCAATGAAGATAAAACCTAACTGTTGGTTTTCTTCAGGGGCCTCTGATGGTAACTGAAGCCCTGAAACCATATTCCAAGGGAGGCCCACGTGTTTGGTTTGTGTCTAACATTGATGGTACTCATATAGCCAAAACACTGGCTGAGCTTAAACCGGACACTACACTCTTCATCATTGCATCAAAGGTATGTCTACTAAGGTCACTGGTGTGACATACTTCAAGTGGTCAGAGATTCAGTCAAGACTTCAGTCCACAGGAAGTTCTAGATTAAGGACTTCTAGTGTACACTAGTTCAAAAAACAAACAGAAAATCTGTTCTGATTAATCCTAAACTTGCAATACAAGTGTATATTGCTACTGAAATGTTTAAGGATCTAGAAGTCAAGCACGGAAAATGACTTATTCTTGAGAAGTAATACACAAGAGCAATTTGATGTTGTTTTAGGCGTTTCTTAGCCAACACAAATTTAAATTATTAACAAGTTTTGTTACTATACTTTGTGGGTGGAATGCATGATCCCATTTTTCTATTTCCTAGAAATTCAAGAACTCATCTCATTCCTTACTTTTACTTCTGGTCTTTTTATATTGCTTATGAAGGACGGTGTTGTCAATAGTGTTTTTTTTTGCATTGATGTTTCACGTCAGTGTAGTTTGGAAACCTTCATTCTGTTTCAGGGTAGTAGCAAAAGCTCATTCTCTAACTTGAAGGCTGAGTGCCTTGAGCATTATAAATATTAAGCTTCTGTACTTACACTACCAGCAGCCTGCCTTCACCTATTTTTAAGACAGCACTTTATTTCTGAATATGGACTTAATAGCTACCTTTGTAAATCTCACCTTGTTAGCAAGCTTATTTTATAACTTCATAAACTTAATTGCTAGTAGCCAAATTCCTCTGAGGTACGCTGACTAGAACATACTGGCTTCTGCCTTATCAGAGGAAACTGAAGACAAAATTCATCATTACATAATGTGGATTGCCTTCATTTGTAAAGCACAGTAGGACCTTTTAACTGTTGACGACAGAATCTGCAATAAATGAACATGTGTGTAATGCTGACCATGCTCTACTGTGGTGCTCATTATCTTATTTTGGCAATACTGTAGCTGAGCAACTTCTGGAATAATAAGTAAGCTTTGCAAAGTAACACTAATGGTCATTTTGAATAATTGAGTTCAAGCATCATGGTTCAAAGGCTCAGAAGACTGCAAGATTGAAAGAGTAACACTTCAGTTTCTATTTGCCAAGCTGTAGTTAGATAATTGGATTTATTTGGAAGAAGATGAATGGTATTTTTTTGTTTTTCCTAACAGGCTTGTTTCATAATGAAATACTTCTGGAGATGGATGAGAGTAGGTTGAATGTAGTGTTCCCCCTTAAAGCAGAATTTTGATGGTTGAGTAAATCAGAATGGTTGTAGATCTTTGCAGAACTGCATGACTGAACTTCTTTGCACACTTCATGAAGCAGGAAGATATTTTCTCTAATCAGCAAAATAGTTTTTGCAGAGTCTTAGCAAAAATGAGTGGTGTTGCATGGAAAAGAAGGAATAAAAGAACAAGAGGACAGTCCAGCTGGGTTGTCCTGTTTTGAAGCTCAATTAACTACTTCCTAATTGAGTGATATAACTTCATACTTAGTAGAAGTACAGGGGAAAAAAACTTAAGTCTCAAGGTTTTGTGTAACAGTTTGGAGGTTGGAAGGAAATAGGGAGTAACTACTCCAATTCCAGCAAACTGCTGACTTGGGTTGGTAAGCTTGCTAGTTTTTTTTTTTTTCTGAAATTTGGTAGCAGCTGTCTTATGAACCTCTAGAACTACTCTGATCTGGTTATCTGAAAAAATGTTTTAGCAGCCTGAACTTGTTTCAATTTGAAGTACAGCGTCTTATACTTCCGTTTTCTGATGTACAGACTTTCACCACCCAAGAAACGATCACTAATGCAGAAACGGCCAAAGAGTGGTTCCTACATGCTGCTAATGATGTAAGTCTAATGTGCTTAGATTATATAACAGAATGCAACAGATTTTCATTGTGCAGTTTCTCCCCAGTCATTTTAAGCATGCTTTGGATCGGGGCCAGTAGCTGCCCAAGCATAAGCTGTGTAGCATAGCAAATGCTGTGCACAACACTGAAGTGCATCATGATTAGTGACAGGATGCTATGTCTGAACAAAGTAACAAAACAAGTTTTCCATTATAGACAGTGGTTATGGTTGGTTTTCCCTCAAATCCTGCCTCTAAAGTAATACACAGTTGCATCTGCCTTAGAGCTAGCTAATGGTTTGGTGGAACCACTGACACAGAAAGAATATAGTCTCTACATGTCATTACCTTTCAGTTCTTGGAAAGTCTTTCAAAACTAGCAATGAAGTTATGGTTGAAGCAGTAAAATAAGATAAAAGCAGTAAAATAAGATTTCTGTAGCAGATGGTTGTGCTATGAACAGAAGCCTTGTTTTTGGCTTATTCTGTCCAATTTCTTGTAAGAAAAGCAATACTGCCTGCTCAGGTGGTTAATGTAGTCTTTAACATGTTCCAGTGAGGGTAACTGTACTTAATTTGAGAGCAGGGCATTGAAGTCTCCCATTATATTAGTTAAAGACAATTTATCTTTGCCTGAACACTTAACAAAAGACCCAAGTCTGAATCTGTAGCTTTAGATTTATCAGTAGTTGCAGTTGTCCTGATCTTGCAACTGTAGCAGGAAGGGCAACACTTGCACAACAAACTCCATCTGCCCAAAAGTGGAATTAGTGATATACCAAACTGGTAACGTACTCTTAAGGAAACTGAGTGCTGCTCAAAGTAGTGACTACCTCCAGAGGGAGGCCTTCATGAAAATATTGTCAGAACATTATCTTCAGATAGGCATTCTGCCAAATCTTACACTGTATGTGATTAAATTGATTTCAAGTTGATAAACATGCAAATAACTAATGATAGTCAAGAATATTTTGTTTAAAACTGATTTGCTATCATTTATAACAAAAACAATTAGAATTCTAGATCTAACACTCTTCATTTTTTATTAAGCCTTCAGCTGTGGCCAAGCACTTTGTTGCCTTGTCTACCAATGGTGTAAGTATAAACTTTAGATTTTCTGCTATGTACTTTTAAGATGGTCTTACTGTACCTTCCTGTAAGGAAGCCTTTAAGATGCCATTATTCGTATACTAATAATTTGCTTTCCTATTGAAAGGATGCATATATGTTCTACAGGACATAAATTGAATCCTTCCAAAGCACCATTATAGATGTGTTTTCTGCTGGAGCTTTATAAATCTGAAATCAAGACGTTGTGCTTGTAATACCTGTCCTGTTACTAATGAAGGGTACCTGTTATTGTTTAAGTGTGTGTGAATACAGTTCTATAAATAAATGTTACTCAAAATACTAAGATAAGTGCTGAAGTGATGCAAATAGTTTATGTGAATAATTTCTTGCATACGATAAGCGTAATGTACCTTGATGTGGTATTTCACCCAAAATAGAAGGAGGGGGGAGCTGCAGCAATTAAAAAAGGCCCAGCAATAGAAGACCCAGCAACAATTGAGGCTGCCAGGTAAACTGGTGTGAAGCTCCATTGTAATATTCTGGGCATGTTGAATGTAAACATTATCAGTTCAACTCCTAACTATATTGCCACTCTGATAGAATGAGTTATGTCATTGAATTCAAGACTGCTGAATGGCAATAGTGATATTTGGAAATAAAAGTATAGTGTATTTTGTGATGGATACTATGTATTTTTAAAATAGGTGTAATTGGGCAATTGTGTATTTAATAGGCATAAAACCTGTGCTTTTTATTTGCTAGACATCAAGGTTTTTAACAATGTTTGTCTTCTCTTCCATGTTTTTTTTTATTCTAGCCTAAAGTTAAAGACTTTGGAATTGACCCTGAGAACATGTTTGAATTTTGGGATGTAAGTAAACATCTAATGTTGTGCAGTAGATGCTAACCATTAGAATTTATTTCAGAAAGTGTTAATTAGATGTCAGCAAATTAAATAATAACCAAAACAAAACTAAAAAAATAGTAGCTGTATTCTCAGTACTGAAACATTTGAAAAATTATGCCTAAAAGTAAACTGAGTGTGACAGGCAAGTAAAGCAGTCTTGTATCTTGGCCATTCAATTCAAATCCTGCTGTAGACGAAGGTCTGAAGAAGAGCCTTCTGTATTCTTGGCTGACTAATCATCTGCAGGGTAATAGGAGATAGAAGTCTTAGCTTATTCCTCTATGTAAGTAGTTATTATAAGCTGTGACATTTGACTGTTGGGGTCTACTGTATATAACCTACGTCTGTAAAGGTCAAACATCAGAAACAGGAGTCGAACTTGATGTTTTATAGCAGATGCATATTTTAAGTAGTGCATTTAGCCTTGGCCTTTCTACTTACCTGCTTAAAATCAGAAACAGGCTGGTTTCTGTCACATTGACTGCCTGACAAACTACACTTTAAAGCTACTATTTAGAACTTAACTAGAGCGTTACCTTTTCCTACGTAATGTCACGATCTCGCTGACTCAGGCTTCTCTTACAGATCAGTACTAGGAAAGCAATTAACACAAGGTGTGAATGTAGTATTTGAGAATGAACTGCAGTCATTATCAAGAGAGCTATTTCAACAGATGTTATATAAATCATAGCCTCTAGACTAGTTGGAAAACTTCAACTCCTTAAAGAAATGCATACTTAAGGATTTATTGGGGCTACTGTAAGGTACAGGTCCCCTTGGCCATGCCATGTGATTTGTAGTGAATTGCCCCCAAAAAGAATCTTTTGCTGAAAATAGTCTAAACACATGCTGCTATTTCCTAATAGTTTAGATAAGCTTCAATTTAAAACCTTTACACTTCTGTTGTCTAAACTAATATTTTTTTCAGTGGGTTGGTGGTCGCTATTCTCTGTGGTCAGCCATTGGTCTCTCCATTGCCCTGCATATTGGTATGTATTCCCGTGATACATTAATAAGAACCTATCTTGGGAGTATATCTGTGGAATATTTTCACAATACTGGATTGTGGATCAGTTTTGGGACAAATATTGTTTTACCCAACTTCTCTGAGCTTCTGCTAAAATCAAATGCGATGGAAATGTCAAAGCTTCAGTACTATAAATGTAGTTTGCAAAGTTACTCATGTAGGTACAAGTAGTCAAATTAGATATATTTGATTGCATAGCCAAAAGTGCTTGGCTTATGTAAAGTCACATCAGTCTTGAAAACTAGATTTTTTACAACTGACATGCATAAACTACTTTAGAGTATTGAGTTATGTAACTTCTGTGTGTCAAATCCTGTCTCCAATTCTGCATGAGTTTTTTAGCATAAAAAAATCCCTTCTCCTATCACATCATAAGCACCAGTCCTTATTCTCCTAGATTATGAAGCCTGATGGCATACGAGTGCTGTTTCTATTTGTAATTCTTCGTGGAATAAAGATAAAGACCCTCTAAATTAATCCTCACCTATCTGTACTGCTACAGGGGCACCATTGGCATCTCTGCAGGTCTCAAATGCATGTGGAGAGCACACAGTGGATGTGAAAGAGCTCTAGGAACTGTTTCTTGGTGAACATGCTGTTCAGCAGTCTTGCATTTGTTCCCTCATCAATCATTTCCAATAGTTAGTCTTGAACCATAAAGTTACATATTTTCTAAATAAAAGATAGAATTACTGTAGACTGATGTTAGAAGAAAAACATTGGTTATGGTGTTCTTAGAATGATATGAATAGCAGTTGTGTGGAAAAAACAATTTGAACAGCAAAATAAACTTCAGTCAGACACTGCTTCGTCTGCAGTAAACCGTCTAACTCTGCTGTTAGATTTTGTTTTGGCTATCTCCACTGCTTGTCCTTAGATCCTTTATCTACCAGAGCTGGCTTCTACCAGCGAGCTCTGGTAGATAAAGGTAGGTAGGTAGAGCTTCTGCTTTGACTGCCAGATACTTCACTGCAATCTCCTGTTTTTCTGTATGACAATTGGGATTTATGGTTTTGTGCAAAAGGATGGCATTAGTTAAAATACTCAATGAAAATAAATGATGATTAAATCCCCTATTAATAGAGCAAACAAAATCAGGTGAATTTTCTAGGAGAACAGGGAAGGGAGGCGAACCTTTCAAAACAACCTTTACTACAGTTTATCCTTAGACCAATGCAGAAATTCCTGCTTTAGTAGCCTTGTCCTGATTTTTGGCGAAGCTTTTCCCACTGTGGCTAATAAGCAAGAAAATTGCGTAGCCTTTAATAATACCAATTCTGGCTTTAATGTCTTTGTTTTCCTTCCAGTTGCTCATTTTGCCTGAATGGGGAGTTTAGGCAAAAGTTTTGAAGTATGTTCCATGAAATCGGGCTTGCTCTGAAGTCCAAGCTTTAATCATAACTAATATCTGTTCTATGGGATGTAAACTCCGGGAGAAGTTAAAGTGCAATTTTAAACTCAATTAGTGGTTGGGAGCCTTTCTGCGTAAAGGAAAATTCTCTACCAGAAAAATCAAGTTTAAGTTACAATAGTAAATGTAAATCGACTTTTTTCATTGTTAGGTTTTGACAACTTTGAGAGTCTGCTTGCTGGAGCCCACTGGATGGTGAGTGTGGGATGCCTATTTCAGATTTGCTTCTCTTAAGTTGATAAGATAAGTGAAGACAGACTGGTTTCTAAAGTTCATCTCCCGATGCTTTCTCAGTGCTTCTAAAATGACCCTCTGGGGGAGGTCTCTAGGTTAAAATAGCAGTTTAAAAAAACAAAAAACACAAAACACAAAAACACTTAGGATTTGGGAGGGATGACAATTAATTTCAGAAGTGTAATTTTTTCATTTGTTAAAAAGGATAACCACTTCCATACGGCTCCACTGGAGAAGAATGTGCCTGTTCTGTTGGCAATGCTGGGGGTCTGGTATATAAACTGCTTCGGATGTGAAACCCATGCACTTCTGCCCTACGACCAATACATGCACCGCTTTGCTGCCTACTTCCAGCAGGTAAGACCTAACCAGAGTAGAAGATTTCAAGAAGCAAGGATATAACTGTGCTTTTGTCCTGGATCTAGAACCTGATAATATGTTTTTAGGTTATAACTGTAATCATGTAAATTGATGTAATCAAGAACAAAAAGCGGTGCCAAGATTGATCTTGTCTTACTTGTTTGATTAATCTAGAGATTTGTTCTTTATTCCCTCAGATCTCAGTTAAGTTTGCGCCCATAAATTAAGCAGCTGTAACCCTGGTATTTACAGAATTTCTATCAAAAAGCAGCACTTAATAGAGTTTAAGTATATATGGAACTTTGTACTGATAGTGATGGTTCTACAAGAAAAATGATAACTACTCTTCCCTTTTAGGGTGACATGGAGTCTAATGGCAAGTACATTACCAAGAAAGGTTCTCGTGTGGACTACAGTACTGGCCCTATTGTGTGGGGAGAGCCAGGCACCAATGGGCAGCATGCTTTTTACCAGCTCATTCATCAAGGTAAACTAGGACTTTATCTTACTTTTATTTTGGAATTAAATTCTGACCATAAAGCTGCAGGGGTGCAGAGCTGACACTGATCTAGAGGCTGGGCTCTAGGCTAGGCTAGTGTGACATGTCTGTAGTGCCCTTAATTCATGGCTTTACAAGGTTGCAGATGCAGGTCTCATGTCTACAATAAGGAGCGTCAACTAGAACAAACTGAACTGTATGGTCACTTCCCCTAGTTCATATAAAATTTTTAAAATTGTTGAAGTGGCTAAGTCTTCCAATAACTCAGTGGGATGAGAATAATTTTTTTTTTGTTGTTTGTTTGTTTTTTAAACTTTAATGTTGTAAGGCTATTAACGTGACTCTTCTTGCAGGGACTCGCATGATTCCCTGTGACTTTCTGATCCCAGTCCAGACTCAGCATCCAGTCAGAAACGGTTTGCATCACAAGGTAATGAGTTCTTTATCAGGACACCCATACTTTCTTGTTGGATTGTGTACCAGCAATTTTCTTCTGTCAGACAAGTGTGGTCTTTAAAAAATGATAGTGCAGGAGAGACCATTTTATGGTTTGTAGGGAGCATAAATGTTTATCTTCAGTATAACTAGTAGGATAAAAAATACCCATCAACTTGCATGTTAATATTAGGCAAGGAATAGGAAACTAAACTTCTGTATTGGTAGGGATCGCTATGTGGTGTACTGTGAGAACTTTCATTGATAGAGTACATATTGTCCAACTTTGACTATTCTTGGTGGAAAAGCAGCTGGCATTCAATGTTAATAATATGGTGTGGAATAGACACTGGTTGAAAGGGACACGAAATCCCAGCTCCTTTGAGCTTACTAGGTTTGTTGTCAGTTCTAATGGGCAAGATTTCTCAGAGCAATCCTGTATGTTTTTGGATGCACGCACTATTAAGTAGTAATCAAGTGTCTCGCCACTCCAAGGTAAAAAGCAACAGCAGGCATTATACACAAAGGTATAGCATAATTTGTTGCCATATTCAGTGCTAAAAATAAGACTTCTCAGTCTGCTTTCAGGCACTGAGTATTTGTTTTTGAGATAATGAAATAGTTGTTTGTCTTCTACCTGCTAGATCCTTTTGGCCAACTTCCTTGCTCAGACTGAGGCCTTGATGAAAGGAAAGACTGCTGATGAAGCTCGTAAGGAACTGCAAGCAGCAGGACTGAGTGGGGATGCTCTGGAGAAGCTTCTTCCCCACAAGGTAATCAGGCTCTGTAATTTGCCGGTTTTCATCTGATTAGTAGTATTGCTGTTGTGAGGGCGCTGCCTTGGTATGCTGCTTGATGGCTCTTGTTAATGGCAGCAGTGCCCTCCGGTGGCTATTAAGTGCTATTGTCTTGACAACAGTGAGAGTCATATTTATTAAAGGCTCTACCTTGCCAGGTACAGTAGAGCAGCCTGTAAATGGCACTACCATTAAGTATAATGATCTGAAGATTTTTGAGGCATTTCAGGTAGAGTTGTGTGTTCATTGCCGCAGCTTTGTTTCACAACTTCACGTGGCCATGGTGGGAGTAGCAGTGCTTGGAGATAATGTTTTGCCATTGTTTGGAATAGGCTACAAAAATAATACAGAACATGAAAATTATATGGTTGAAACTGTTAGCCTTTAAAGCTTTCAGGATTACCGTTTTGCTGCTAATAAAAATAATCAAATGTGGGCTGTCAGGAAAATGTGCAACTTGCATCAGAAACCTGTTAGTATGCACTATACTACAATGTACCTCTTGTTTTTTAAAGGTCTTTGAAGGCAATCGCCCAACCAACTCCATCATGTTTACAAAACTCAACCCATTCACTTTGGGAGCAATCATTGGTAAGTAAAAGACCTTTCAACTGTGAATCCTTACTAAGACTTTCTGATGAAGCTTATTGATAAATAATTTATTTTCCTGTTTTAGCCATGTATGAACACAAGATATTTGTTCAGGGAGTTGTCTGGGATATTAACAGCTATGACCAGTGGGGGTAAGTCTCGTTGATCTTTTTCTGGTATACTTACCAACTGTGGTTTACCTTAATGTGTCATGATTTAGAGAAGACAATAAAAAATAGTGGAATACTTAAATGATTATAGGATAGTTTTAATTAGGAACCAGATTCTGAGAATAAACCACCATGTACCCTATCCACCATGTATCTTCAGCCATGCGTAATGGCCCTACATACAACTCCAGCTAGGGGACCTTTGCTTTTTCAGTATAAAAACCAGCAAACTGAATGCAGAAAAGATAACTGAGCAGGCTCAACACTGTAATAATGAGAACATAGTCAAGCAGGCTGAATGCGTGCTTTGACAAGTATAAGGGGAGAATTTACCTTGTAATTGGGGGGGGGGGGGGGGGGTGAAAGCATCTCCAGAAACACGTGGTAGGCAGCTGAGTGGTACCTGCTAGTTAAGACTAACCACCTGAATTTTTCTTGGGCTGGAGCTACGTGAAGGCATCTGCCAATCTTGCATAGGAGCCCCTAGCCAAATGCAGGCTGCACCTCTGCCTACACTTGTAGTAGAGCTCCATGTATAAAGCAGCTGCTTAATAAGGAGTTTGTTACTTTGGTTTCTTTAAAAATAGAAGACTTTGTCAGGAGATAATAATTATCTTTAATCTGTAGTGATTAACTGTAGAACATATTGTGTGGAAAACTTTCCCAAGAAAGAGCTGGGAAAAGGGTAACTTTTTTTTTAGGTGAAACCTGCCTGTGTCACAGCAGGGGTTATTTCAAAGATCATGTTTTCTATGAAGGCTTAGAATACTAATTTACACTAAGCTTCCTTCATAAAAACTGAATGAGAGATCTTCTGAATATATTCTTAGAGCTATGTTACCACAGCAGTTTTTTACCTAAAACAGTGAAGCAGAAACTGGAAATGGAAGACTGTCTGATAAAAGCTGTAACTGTCTGCTATAAAATCTGAAAAACGAGTAGGATACAAATACAGCTCTTTCTGTAGCACATGAAAATCTAGAATGGAATCCAAACCTAAATATGGAATGTGGGGAGGGCAAGCAGAATATGCTGTAGAACCGGTTTAGTTTCTTGCAGCTGTTGGAATATATCTCTTGGTGGTTTGTGTCTGGATAGCCCTCTGTAGTGCTGAAGAAAGCTTGCAGTCCCAGAGCTTGGCTGTTTTTATTCATTATCGTGGTGCTGCAAGTCAGTATTTTGATACTGTATTTAATGGTGAATCAGGAGCATGCTGAATGCCCTCTGCTCTGCAGCAGGCTGCATAACATAAATGAGTACTGAAAGGGAGTTACAGTGCAGAAAGAGTACATAAAACAAAGCTTTCTCGTTAGAGATCTTGTGTAATTTGAGCTGTTTGTTCAGCTAGGCAGTTGTACTTGTGAGAATCCCAGTTTGTGAATGGCACTACAATAACTAATTTGGTCAGCCATAATGTTAACTGTCATGTTTCTTTTTACTGGCACCTATTCTTAACACACCTTAAATTAGTACTAATACTGCTTTTTTTGTTCTCATACTTCTTTAAATGCAGAGTTGAGCTTGGAAAACAACTTGCCAAGAAAATTGAGCCTGAACTGGAGTCAGATGCTCCAGTGACATCTCATGATAGCTCAACAAATGGGCTCATCAATTTCATCAAAAAACACAGAGCCTGAAGTGAAAGATTCCGAGGACATCGACAATCTAACGACCGAATACTTAAGTCTGTTGTAGTTGTGCTTTTTTAGCCACTTTTAACAAAAATAGCACTTTACCGACATAGCTTCTTCACTTGTTGCAGTTAATCCTGTTGCGTCAAGTGTTACCAATGAAAACTAGTTGTGAAACCAAGAGATTGTATAGTTGCTTTCTATTTTTGTGGTTGTTGATCTGTAAAGTGCAGCTGGTATGTTCCTCACTTCTTATCCGTCAACTTCCTTAAAGATGATCACATGATATTAGGAAATAAAAGATATGATGGATGAGTAAAACTTCTTCACTTTTTTCTGTATCTTTAAAACGCAGACCCAGTAACACTTCTCTTACTGTGTGTAAGGTTCTCTAAAGTCAAGTGCACCAGCTTGTTGAGTATGTCATTGCCTTGGACTGGGTCTGCTATAAGCTAGAAGTATGTTCAAAGAATAGAGTAATCCATGGCTATAAATTTTTCAGGTTTTATGTTAATGTGTCTGAGCAAGATGCAGATGTTTTAGTACTATTATGTAAAGTTTGCCACTTTTGGTAGGTCTGTATTGATTTTGTCCAGAAGCCATGAAAGCTCTGCACAGACAGCTGTTCAAAAAGCAGGAATATTCCTGGACTGACAGTGATGTATTGAGCTCTGGAAAGTTTGGAAAACTATGTGAAGCTGAAGATTGGCATTAATTGCAGCAATGTATTTTGGTACCTTCAAGTGATGGCTTATTTCAGTCTTAACTCTATTTCAGTCTTAAATCTCCATCACTCTTAACAGAAGTCTGACTAGAGAACAATGTGACTGCTTGTGAATGAGTTGCTTATCCTCTAATTCTCTACCCCTCTTACTCCTCTCTGTTAGTAGAGTAGCATGCTGTGGCTATTGTTCCAAACACCTCTAATAAAGGTAAGACACAAGCGTGGAAGGGAAAAATAAGATAATAACTGTTGTTCTCATACAGTGACAAGAAAGTCTGAACATGCAACTCCTACTGTACATGTTTGCTGTCAGTCAATGAATTGGCGGCAGCAGCAGCCTTGTTATTACTGATACGACACACTAAGAACTCCTTCATGAGGTTAACAATGTCTGCTTAAATTGGAATTTTACGTTCATACTGTGAACAGTACAGTGGTGCTATGTTCTTGATCACCATTATAAAGCACTGCCACAAATAGCCCACCAGAGGGAGTTAAAATATTTTCACAAAAGGTTTTAAAACTTTCCTTTAGCTCTGTAACAGTTCCTGCATCTCAGCTCCTCACAGTTTGTTAAGAGGTAACGTGTGAAGTGACATCCTGCATGATCCTGGTGGTATTGCTGGGTAGCTCGTGTTGTTATCTGTTACTCCTGTAGACTTCTACCCCCAGAAATTTTACCTCATAACACAAAGCAGAAGAGCAAAAAGACTGTGGTACTGTTTGTGTGTAATAAAACAATACTCCAGCAGTGGTGACTTCAAGCTTGTGAAACAGCTCTTTATTGTGGGAGGACGTGAAGATGGCTGCAGAAACAGCACCACCACAGGCCCTGAGGTAGCAGACAGGACTCAGATCATTTGCAGAAAAAGGGGCGCGTGCAAGGCGGGCGCGTGCAAGGCGGGCGCGTGCAAGGCGGGCGCGTGCAAGGCGGGCGCGTGCAAGGCGGGCGCGTGCAAGGCGGGCGCGTGCAAGGCGGGCGCGTGCAAGGCGGGCGCGTGCAAGGCGGGCGCGTGCAAGGCGGGCGCGTGCAAGGCGGGCTCGCGGCGCCACCTGGCGACGGGCGCTCCTGTGAGGAAATGGCGAGCCCTGAGGGCCCGGCTGGGCGGGCTCTCCTCTCTGCGCTATTTGCTGACCGGCGGTGAAATTACCGACCGAGTAAAACGCTCAGGAGGAGTTCTTAGCCGTGACTTGCCAGTGAATCAGGCTGGATACCAGAATTATTACCTGATAATCAGAGTTCGTGGAGCGTGAAAACGACTGCTGCCTGACATAATCCCTAATGTCCACAGCCAACTGCAGGATAAAGGCAGTGACGCAGCTTTGATGGCGATTCTCCCCTCAGCAGGGCAGAGGGCACAGTCACAGGTACAAATAAACACAAGGGAACAGACTCTGGCTGCATTTTGGAGATGAAACGGCTGTGAGGGTGACTGGCTGCCTGGCAAACCCTGTATGCATACAAGTCTGTGAGGCAGTCTGCTCGCTGAATGTTTTCCTTTTAAATGCACAAATGCTTAGCTTGAAGCCCCTCTTCCACAAAAAATGGCAGGTGCTGAAACCAACACCACTGAGGTAACTTGTAAGCGTTGCTGTGCTGCAACCCTGGCTGAGGGAGGCAGGCGCCAGCCTGGACGGGAGCCATGAGGAGAGTGCCTTGAGGGCTGGGTGGGAGCAGGGTCGGACAACAACCCAAAAACACCTAGAGAAGGGGGCACAATCCCCAGAACTTTGGAGACCTCACACGGGGCAGGCAGGAGGCAGATTCAGAGCAACATTTTTTTTTTTTTTTTTTTTTTTTTTTTTTTACTAAATAGTAGACTTGCAGAGATTCCTGACAGTATCTGGAAGATGTTGAAGTTTAAAAAAAAAAAAAAAAAAAGCAGGAGGAGTCACTGGACAGATCACTGTTTGAAAAGGTAATTTGAGGATTACTAAATGCATATAAACTACACATGGTTCAGGAATTCGCATTAAGTTACAAGAGTTGAAGAGTAAGAGCCAAGAAAGGTACTATAGGCTTGCACCCTCCTCATTTTTCCCCATGTATGTCCTTACCACCACTGCTGGAGGTGGGATGGTGGCCATGCTGGGCACCTGCACTGACCCAGCACTGCTGGTCCTCTCCAGCCATGATAAACCTCATGTTGAAAGAAAAAAAACATGAGAAGTTTCAGATGCTGTTTCTGCTACTACAGCTCCAGTGAATCAGTTTAAATTTTGTGCAGTACCAAGCTAGGCATGAATAAAACCCCAAGAGTTCTTCATGAATAGCGTTTGCATAATGAAAAGGCCTAATCTGGTCATTTCTGACTGGGAAACTAAGGGATGTGGCTGAGTGTCCTGATGAGACAGCATTATCATTATGCTGCAGGAGAGAATAAAAGTTACTAGACGGGCCAAGAAACACAGAAATGGTTTTTCTTCTGGAGAACACAGAATTACACTGAGACAGAAAATGTGAGGAAAAGAGAATATTTTGTTGTATATATTTTTGACAGCTATCTAGAAAGGAAGTACTATGCCTAAAGTAAGCAGAAACTCATCAGTCCTTTGAGCTGGAACAAGATCTTCTGATCCTCAGCCCAGTGTGTTAACCACAAAATACGTTTCTCTTGAAGGTTCAGGAAAACACAGTATGGGAGTGCGTCAGTGTACGCAGGTAAGTCAATGATATACATGTATGTATGTACAGTTGTACTGTAAGTGTTAAACATGGTACATCGATTACATAATAATAATGTTCACAGTAAAAATTGATCTATGAATGTATTTAAAGAGTTCTTGAGAAGGAAATTACTTAAGATAATTTAATATTTTTAAAGGGAATCATGTGAATTTCATCTTGTATTCCTACTGGGTATGCACTTGTTATAGGCTGTGTGGAAACCAGGGTAAACAAAGAATGTTTGTATTATTATGTGGTTTAAAAAGACTGAGCCTGTACGCTATGATTACAACGAAGATACCTGCGCTTTTGTTTGAAGAAAATTTTATTATAATGGATGTGATCCCCTTTGGCCCAATTTGCAGTTACCTGATCTGTTGGGTTGTTCTAATTTCCAAACTATCCAGCACTAAATGCGGAGTTTCTGCAGGCTCAATGATCATAATGGTTTGAGCTTGAACTGCTTGAAGAAAGGTAAGATGAGTAAAATTTCCCAGGCTGCACTGAAAACCTAAATTAAATCCATTGCTGTTCTACAAGAAAAAAAAGCACTTGCCGATCTGCAGTGTCAGGGCTTCAGCAGGTGAGCCATGATTCTATATAGATTAGTCAAGTAAAAAAATTATTTTTCTTCATTTGTTCATATTGCCTGGAAGAACATGACAATGAAAGTGCTTAAATTTGTATACTCCTAGAAGTATTCTGCTCTAGCAAGTTCTGTTGCTATTTTTTTCTTGAAATGGATTTTGGAGAAAATATTGTTAAGTAGATATGTACAGTATACAACAGAGTTATGAAGTCTAGAGCGTTAAAGTTTCACAATATGTTTTTCAGTAGGAGTTGGAAATTTAAATCAACAGCATGACTTTTCACAAAGACTTCCATTTATAATTGGTCTAACTTATTTTTAAATTGTATTCAGTGACATTAACTTAGGTGGCTTGCACTTCAGGACTGTCTCTCCAGGCTTTTCAAGAAATGAATTTGTAGCCATAGCATTGTTTAATTGTACAGACAAATCTCTATGCAGCATTGCTTTTTTCTCTAATAAATTATCTGATAGGTCTTTTTAACATTTGCTTTATTTCCTAAATCCATTATATATATTAAAATAGACAACTAAAGGGCTGTTGGCATGGCTCCCTGGCTGGATAGTCTGTGATCTAGCAGCAGTGGTTCCTGAACTACTTAAGAAAAGCAGTATTAGAAGAGACAGTACAAGGCCTCATATGGAGGCTCACTGGAGTTCTCCATAACTCTCCGTCAATAACCATATCAGTTCTGATCTTCACTAGCCTTCTAACACTATTTGGAGTTGGAAGAGTTACGATGATCTATCGTCTAAGCCATGTTTAATTCACAGGTTATATAGCTGCTGCCCATAATAGTAGAAAATTTCAGAATGACAAGCAAAAAATATAAAAGGTATTGAGTCTTCATCCATTTTAATGTTAAAGTGGGGAGCATGGTATAATGGTAGAGGACTACTGGCCAATATGCATGTATACCAGCTTAATAATGCCCTTTAATTCTATTTGCATGGGATTGAGATTTTACTGAGAAGGCCTCTTATCTCACCGTTCAAAACTAGGCGGTCAAATACAAGTGAAAACGTCATTTTGACATAAACAGACATTGATCTGGTTGTTGGATTATTAACTGCAGTCAGGAGGCAATTCTCGAGACATGTATTTTGCAACAATTTTGGACTATTTCAGCCTGGCTACAGATATGCTTCTCTATAAGTGGAAATAAAAAGCAAGCCTCCATGCTGAGGCAGACACGTGAGGGAACCTAAAACGTAGTGTGTACAATCTAACTTGGTTTCATAGATCTCTTCAGAGGTAAGCAGTATTTAATAATAAAAAGCACCAATTTTATTTGAAATATGTACCTTTGGAACAAAATTAAAGGAGAGGATTGACGCTAGCTAATCAACTGTGGTAGACAAGCAATGTTTGCTGGAACAAAATAATGTTGGTGATGTCCTCAAACTTGGGAATACCTTTACTAAAAAAAGTATACATCAGTATATATATATATATATATATATATATACTAGTATACACATGTATACTGGTTGGAGTTGCGTATACACACACACACACACACATATATAAGTACATCAAACTTTCTTTCCTCTTTAAAGCCACAGAGATCTTCCTCCTGGGAGATACCGACATTCCCTTCATATTGGGTGGATTTACCGCAAGGAAAGCTAGAGGAAACTTAAAAGTGTCCGATTTTATTTAAAACCTTGGTGGTCTTTAACGGCTGCCCCACAGTTCCAGCCTGGTACAAACTTAAACAGAGCTCTTTGTTGCTCTTGAATGTGACATAATCCTTTCATCTGGCATGCTGAATGAAGTATGCACATGGCTTTTTTGCTACCCCTGCTGGGCTGCCTTGTTACACCTTCAGAGCAAACCACCCCTCAGTAAAAAAAAAAAAAAAGGCAAAAAAAAAAAAAAAGCTTGGACTCTGTCATCCACCCTAACGCCAATAAACAACAGATAACTATGGTATCTTTTGGCTTTAAAATGCTGCCCCTCGTTAAACTTCTGTGTTGAGGAAGGAAACGGCTCCCCACATCATTGTTTCAAGCAGATACAGATACAGAGTACATTTTTTTGTTGTTTGCATGTTTGCTAATTTGAAGCTCTTTGAAGAATCCTACAGGGAGATCAAAGACAAAAGATTAGAACGTTTTTAATAAAGTGAAGAAGGATCAGGTTAGATCAAAGGGACAAGCTGACAGGAAATAAGTAGGTGCCGTTGTTGGCTGACACTTGCATGCTGTAGGGTGATTTCTGTGTTAATGTGAGGTCAGAAGGAGGATTGCTTTACATCTTATTGTCTCCAGACTTTGCTGACTGGGTGTGTCTTTGTACTTTGCTTTAATCTCAAAAATTAAAACCCATAAAGTCACAGTTTGGCTCAGCCACATGATTTTTCTAGTTATTTAGCTTTGATTTTGAAATAAAAATAAAATTTGGAATGCATCAGCAGGGTATGGAGGTAATTAATTGGCTTGCAAAGGGTTTTGGCTACAGGAGTACTCATTATCAGAGGTACTGGGCCTCAGTCATCCCCAGT